TTCAACAAAAATCAGATTGTTACCAATCAGAAAACTTAATGATAAATTTCGTTTGGAGTTTTAACACACTCAAAAAAATGAATTATGGCTTTAGTTGGTCCAAAGAATGTAACTATGTTTAAATTAAACAATCCGCTTATGTTTGTGTATTAAAAATAAAAGTGTTGTGTTGGAAAAAATTAGAAAAAGTAAGTTTTCACATTTAAACAGCTTGCTTAATTAACATGAATGAAAGGGAGTTGTGTTGCTTCTGTAGTACTGCATTTTGGTCAATAGGTGGAGTAATATCTGCACATGCGCAGTTTCAAAACAACACAGGAAGTAAAAAGATTCAAACCACAACGATCACTCTCAGCTCGGCGCCATATTATGGGAATTAAAAGATGAAGATTACAGTACAAATTGAGAACGTGCACAAAGCTTTCCCCAATGTGGACACACAGGTGAGATTTTTTTTACTTTTTATGTATTTATACTGAGGCTGTGACAACATTTGAATCATAAATGTACTCTCTTGTAATACTTTGTTATGTTTGTGTATAGTATTGCTATGAAATTGCCATGTTCCCTGTGTCTTTTCCACATTATAGACAGATAAATGTATAGTGTGTTTTGCATTCCTGTGAAATGTTATACTTGGTATATATTAACTCCCCCCAAATAAAGTTGCAAACGTTGGTAGTAAGGAATAGTCATGTTAGAATAGTCTAAGCTTTTCACTCATCATAGCACACGTGCTGCTGATAATGTGACAATAAAAGTGATTTGATTTTTTATTTGATTTGATGGTCTTTATTTTAAATGAGTGTCAAGCAGTTTGTCGAGTTTGAATGCTAGTTTTGATAACTTACATAATATTAATTAAAATGTGGTGTTGGCACATTGTTATATATTATCTAATTGTATTATTCAAGCCTGTTAACTTAAAAAAAAATCAGCAAAAATGCATTTGTGACACCTAAATAGGATGACATCTAGCATGATGACATATTTAATGTGAGCTTATTTGTTTGGTCATCTAACACGTTTTAATTTTTAAGTTTAGTAGTTTGCTATGTATATTATTATATTTTATTATTTTAAATCTTTGCTCACTCACATCTATTTTCTCCCTCATAGGTTTACAGCTCAACCTCTAAAGTCCCATATCTGGCTGAGGAGACTGTGGATCATCCAGGTACTATGCCTTTAGATGCCTATACACACATTAAAATGATGTACAGTAAAAATTACTAGTAATTTTAACTACTAATTATTTAGTAAATTACTAATTGTCATTTCATGTCATTTAGAACATCACCAGTGGAAAAAAAAGGTGTGAATGCATCCTCAAAGCCCCTAAGTGAGGGAGTACATGGTAAGCTATTTTATTTTATTTTTTTAAACATTTTGTATTTTCCTCTTAAATCAATTCCTCCTTTCTCCTTTGATCTGTTGGTAAATGTTTTATTTTTTTACCTGACTTTTTTAGGATGCTGGGCATGATGAAGCGCAAACCTTGATGTGCAACACCACCTTATGAATCTACAGTTGTTTCATTAACATTTAGCAGACTCTTTTGTCTAAAGTGACTTACAATTGAGGACACATTCAGGAAATCAACAAGAAGAGGCAATGCATCCAAGATGTGCTAATTATAAAAAAAAAAAAAAAAAAAAAAATTAAGAATGCTTCTACATGTGGTTTGTCAAGCCCACACACCTGTTTGAAGCAGACTTCATGCACAATGTTTTGTTTTTTGTTTTTTAGATATAGGGAGTGGTTGTAAGAAAGTGTCTGGTGCAAATGTACATAAATGATGCAAGTGTCAGAGAGATGAATGTGTGTAGCTATTGCATGTTCTGTGATGGTTGGTCTAATTTATGGTGTAGTGCTGATCGTGTTACTTTGCTTTAAAATGTTAATCTTTCTTTGAACAACTGAAGTGTTATCTGCTTTTTCAGTGTAAAGAAAGTACAGTATAGTTTACAAAAGAAGACTTAATTTTTCCAAGTATATTTTTGATAAATCATTTGAAGGCAGAATATTATTTTTGAATGTTTTTTGTAATATATGAAAAGTATTATTTTGAAAAGTGTATTTTATGATGCTTTTGTAAGCATATTTTTGTAAATCATTTATTGTTTTTAATTTACTTCATACTTGTATTACTATTATTTTAATAGTATTAATATTTTAACTTATTGTAATAAGTGAAGATACAGATTAAGACAGTATTTGGATTTTGATAATCATTTTATTGCTGGAAAATATGTAAAACTGTAAAAATGCTATTGAATAAACTCAATGAAACGGAAACTGTTTTTTTATTTGGTTAAACATAACAATATCAATTTTAGAATAATTGAACTTAAATAACTACATTGATTAAAGCTAAAATATAAATGTTACGTTGATTGAACTAAACAACATTACATTACCTTTATGTAACTAACTTAAGTTCACTAAAATTAATATTCTTTCTTAAAGGTAACTTAACTCGGTTACGTGGAACCAGTGGACAAAAAAAAGTTAATTAACGCCAACATATCATTTTTTTGAGTGCATGATATTACTATGGTAATAATACAATTAGCTATATTTTAATGATAAAAAAAAAAAATTGAGAAATCCATTAACATATCAATTGACACATGAACCACAGCAAAACGTGTTTATTATATTTTATAATCATTTTATTAATATAGTATAATGTATTATAATATTACATATAAAATTATATTTTGATATATTATATATTATAATGTATTAATTATTAATATATAATATATTTATAATTTTAGTTTAGCTATTCATTTAATTTTCATAATTGCATATTATTGTATTCATACATTTTTCTCCTGCTCAGTCTCTATTTCAGAGGTCGCCACAGCGGAATGAACCACCAAGTATTCCGGCATATGTTTTATGCAGTTGATGCCCTTCCATCTGCAACCCAGTACTGGGACACACCCATACACAATCATTTATACTCACACTCTTACACTACAGACAATTTAGTTTATTCAATTCACTTATAGCACATCTTTGAATTGTGGGGAAAACTGGAGCACCCATAGGAAACCCACAGCTTTGCTTTGTTGTTCCCTTCTTCCCTTTTTGTTTTTATTTGCTGTCTGCTATCCTTCTAAAATCTAGCTATTTCAATTGCCTTACAGAGTTTTCACGAGTGGACCAATGACAAGAGGATAGGGGTCATTTAAGTGCTCCAGTGACTACTTGCACCAGACTAGGGGGAATCCGTCATCTCTTGCCACTGCTCTTTGTTTTTGTGTGTGAATTGTGTGTATGACCTGTTCTCTGGTTCACTTCATTATGTTGAGTTGTTCATCTATTCAGAAGGTCCAAACTAAATTACAAAAGGGAAATTAATGTAAAGTATGTCACATGACCTATATCTTACAAACACATAGCTGATTCTGTGTTAATCCGTTAGTTTAGAAGCCACCTATGTTTTCTCCACCAAGCCTAGTTTTAGTGACGGAAGATGTTTTTTTAGTTATTTAGAGGTGGGAGGGTTTAGTTAGTATGTTTAATTTGTTATTTTCTTTGACTTAACGCAGCTTAATTTCCTTCCATTTGTAAGGTTTGTTTCAATTAGTTTTTTTGTTTCTTTTGCATTTGTTGATTTGTAAATATACTTTGTGTGATTTAAATATTCTTATTTTTTCTTTTTATCTTTATTTGTAAATAAAGCGAACCACTTTTTGCCATGTCAATTTTCTGTGTCGATTCATTGCAGCTAACGTATCAGGGGAATTTAAAAGATATTGGGTTGTCATAATTATGTCTAGCCCTTTTGATCCTCCAAGACACACGGGGCGTAACAGTTATAAAACAAATCTGAAAAAAAAAAAGTGTATTTTGATGGTGATTTGCAGCTTTGCAAGTGATCGGAAATCGGGCTCGATCACATGGTTTCAAACTCTATCGGAATTGTATGTTACCTCCCGAAACTTGAATATATGTATATTTACAGTTGAAGTCAGAATTATTAGCCCCCTATTTATTTTTTCCTCATTTTCTTATTAATGGAAAGAAGATTTTTTCAAAACATTTGTAAACATATAAGTTTTAATAAATCATTTCTAACAACTGATTTATTTTATCTGATCTTTATGACAACAACATTGCCAAAGCAAACTGTGAGATCTGTAAATTTTGGATTGCCTTCACAGTATTTTAAATCGACGTGCTATATATTTGATTTTTTCTTATATTTACTGTTGCACTAACGTCCAAAAGTAATTGACTGTTCAAGCTACCTCACAGAAATGCTTTGTTTGTTAACTGAGTTGTTCAATGTTAAAATAAAAAATAAGGATCATCCTGCATGTTTCTTCACTCCTCTTTATTCTTTCTTTTATGTATTAATGATGTTATCGGATCGAGTTCGGTATTGGTAATTACTCAAAATCAAATGACTCAGACTCGAAAGCAAAAAACCCTGATCGGGACTCTTTTACTCTTTACTTGATCTCAGGTCAAGTCAAATCTGCTTGTCTGGAAAACATAAAAATGTAACAAATTTAACATAATTTATTTTAGAAATTATTGAAGCCAAACTGCATTTGTGACCATTGGCTTCCATCAAATGTAATTTTTAAAAATATCTACATGGTCGCAGCAAAAAAGAGAAAATCAATCCTCGAATGTCATAAGAATGAGTAAATGATGTCTGAATTTCAGCAGAACAACTGCTTTAATATTAAATTTCCATGAGTATTGAAGCTAAATTCTTTGCAAATAACCCACAATAGTTTTCCTCGCTCTCATTAGACCTGGGCTGCTGTTATAACGGACACAGCCTGCATTTGAACACATTCTCACAGCTTGAAAATAAATATGACATCTCATTAACAAAATGTTCATGGAAAAATGTGTCAAACGCTGCTTATTTGCATTCTTATTATGTCCAACTGAAGTCTGGCATGCAGACAGGAAATGTTGTTCGTTTTTATGGCACCAACAGGGCGAAAAACAGTATAAACATGACTTACTTGTAGGCTTCACGTACACCTTCAACTTTAAACATGGTTTGCCAGCGTGGTTGGGATGAGGAGAGGCTGTTGAGAAAGAAGAGAAATAATGAGGAGGATCACTCAACATCCAATGAATCAATGTGTTTAAGATTCTGTCAATGATGTGGAGTGACACTCTCAGGCCTGACCCCTCCACAAGCAAAACAAGAACAAAGCCTGAGATTTTCTTCACGCCGAGGAAATGGCTGTGACCTTCAGCAGTTTGGTGTCGTCACATACAATGGCCTGCTACACAGAGTGCGTCCCACAGCAAATTAGCCCACACAGCACCCAGTGACCTGAGAGCCAGCAGTCCAGCATTAGACGAGCTCCACCAAAGTATCAGCTCCAGCGTTCATCTCTCTTCTTCAGACGCAAGCCTTCTGACAGATCACTTGAGTTGTCTGTTCTCCAGTCACACAACAAATCAACTGCTCATTTCCTTATATGGGTTTGCTGAGGAGTGAAATCGTTTATTGGAACTTGGTCATGGTCAAATATCCATTTTCTTCTTTGGATTAGTCCCCTTATTCATCAGGGGTCACCACAGTGGAATGAACTGCCAACTTATCCAGCATATGTTTTACGCAGCAGATGCCCTTCCAGCCACAACCCAAAACTGGGAAACATTAAAACACACATGCTCAAGAAATTGGTCTCCCCCCCTTGTCTCTAACTTTGCTAATTATTTTCTTGTATTTTCTGCTTTGCACAATACAGTGTATCCTTTAAATGAGTACTTCAAGGCCAAAATGGGATAACATTTTTTAAATAAATGCACCTTAGTAAAAATCATTACTGGTGTCCATCTTGAGACGAACCAAAGTTTTATTTTAGTAATGAAAAATAAAGTTATAAGACAAAAAATACTGTTAAAAAACAGTCAGCTTAGGCAGCGTCAGGACGTAGACGCACTGTTTTTTTAACATGTCAGTGTTTACGAATAGATTACATCAAAAAGAACACGAGTAATCTTGACAAACTATACCTCAGTCTTAAGCTGCAACCCTCAAGTAGCCATTGTAGCAGTTGTTTTTCAATGCGAAGCTTATAAAGAATGTATTTGCTAAATTTGTATAGAACACGCTTATTAGATATGGAGTGAACATTATTGCAATAGCAAGATACACAAGCATCCAATGCTGTACATCATGGTTAATTTTCAAAGGTAAGAATACTCAGAACAACATCCCATTAAACACATTTAGTCCAACAACAATAGTTTTGAATTATGAATGGTTATTTGTTTGTTTATATCTTAGTTTCTGCTTTTTTAAAGCGTTTTGTACAAGAGGTTATGTAAGCTAAACAAACACTAAACTTGGTTGAAAATGGATTTAAACTCTGCTAAACTAGAATTACTTACTCCCAGTAAGTAATACATTATATTGAAGTTGATAATTAGCCTCACCATGTTGGTGTTTCGTCAAATCAAATTTTTATGAGGTGTGTCGTTAGCCCAACCCTCAACCCCCAACCTGGACAATTTAGCTAATTACCATGTCTTTGGACTTGTGGGGGAAACCGGGGCACCCAGAGGAAACCCATGCTAATATGGGGAGAACATGCAAACTCCACACAGAAATGCCAACTGACCCAGCTAGGCCTCCAACCTGCAACCTTTTCGCTGTGAGGCGATTGTGCTACCCACTAAGCCACAGTGCCACCAAACTAGAATTCATTTATCTATTCATTTTCTTTTCGGCTAAGTGCCTTTATTAATCTGGAGTCGCCACAGTGGAATGAACCGCAAACTTATCCAGCAAATGAAATGCCAACTGACCAAGCCTGAACTCGAACGAGCGACTTTGTTGCTGTGAAGCGACAGTGCTAACCACTGCGTCATCATGCTCCCAAACTACTAAATTACTAAAACGAAATATATAAAATTAAACAGAAATATGTTGACAAAACTAAAAACAAAACTAACAAATCCATTAAAGAAATTAACTAATAGATAATAGACAGCGCCTAAAAATAGCCCCAGTTAAATATATTACCTATAACTGGATAACATTATAGTGTAATGTCATTGCGCCTACTGAAGCCATGGTATGCCAGTAAAGTCTGGTCTGAGCCTTTCCTGGAGAAACATTAATCTGTAGTGATCGCTGATTGGCTCCTGTACTAGTAGGCGAGGTTTCATTCGCCATATTGACCATTAAACTTTTCCCATTCAAAACTAAATGAGTGACGTGTCTTGTGTATTCTATAGTTTTGGACTATAGTGTGCTCCAGTTTTATATTTAATAAATAATTATTATCACATGTTTGGCTTCCTAAAATGAGAATGTAACAACAAGTGCACCCGATCAACTTGCAATTAATTTTAAAATGTACATAACTTCTTACTTAGACTTCAGCGTATCTGGCCTTAATGCTTGGCGATGTTTCCCTGTGGATTCAAACACTGTAAATATCTCAGAATCCTATCATAGAAGTAAAAGCTTCAAGCACAGTTAAACTAATGCAAGAAGTTTTCACAATTCCCCAAATCCCTTAGAACCCCCCCAAAAGCTCAACCCTAGTCTAGAGTTTGTCGCGTTCAACCTGAACGACCCCCCTCCTCCTCCTTCATCTCCCTGCGCCCCATCGCCCATCCCAGGTCATTGTGTATTCTTGTGGCGCGTCCAGCACACCGGATCCTAGGTTCATTGGAGAGCACCCAAGCTCAACCGCCGGCAGCTGTGTAGAAGACGCCTGTCAAGATGTCATCACAGCCGATCAATACAGGCGGAGAGATGGAAGTCCGGGGGTTAAATCTGACCAGGCCTGATGGACGTGTTCTTTTACCAGCAGACAATCGAGATCAGCCCCCACTTCCCCATGATAACCTCTCAGATCCATCTCTCATCGCTGACCCCACCGACCCTGCCGAAAAGCATCAATCCCCGAGGGACCGTGACGCCCAGTATCCAAACAATCCTCTCAGGGAGTGTCCTGAATGGAGGAGCCGGGGCCTTTTCCAGCCGTCCTGAAACAAAGGCCTTCACAATGTCTGGGAAGCGCGAGGCAGATGCATTAAAAATCAGTTTGGGGGGATCGGGGCAGAAACGCAGAGTTGAAGGGTATCTTTGAACTTTTTTTTCCGCCTGCTCTTTGTGGCATCGCACTCTCTCTCTTTCTCTTGTGCGTGGAGAAAACACTGCGGCGTGGATGATAAGCAGCGTTACGCCCTGCTGCTTTTGGGGGGATGTTGACTCAGAACGACGCCCCCTTTCAGTCTGAGCTGTCAATCAGAGAATAATCAGCAGTCAAATGAAAAGCATGTAGGATCTGTTGGGAGAGACGAAGACCCGTCCGGACACAAAGCCGGTGCGAGCTCAAAGTCACCGGGGTCTTTCTCTGTACTGTACACAGGTGGCTCCACATCTGTCCGCGCCACTGCCTCCCATGTCAGGAATTGTAATTACCATATAAATTATTGATTTGCTTGTGCCGCTCCCTGTTTTCTCTCCCGGCATCTTCCTGATGCAAGTCTTTCATGTTATCTTATTAAAACAGCTAGGCAGCTGAAGTGGGGAAATTAAGACATTTATTTTGTTTAATGTCTACTTTTAATTTGGCTAAACCACACCAAACTGTCTTCTCTGAAGGACAGTGAAACAAGTGATTGAAGGACAAGTTTGCCGTCTGAACCTAACAGTTTAAAGCTTTGTGAGGTTAATGGGAATGAGCTGTTGGATGTTTCTCATTTAGGAAACGCTAAAAGCTTTAGAGATTAAAGCATCTCTATTTCTCCATTTGTGTTTTTTCTGTCTTTTGAAACCCAAAATGAGAATATTTCGCTCAGTTAAACACGGTTGAGCATTTTAAAAATGTACTGCATCTGATATCTACGGCTTGTATGAACCCAGCAGGCACACAACATCATAATATTAGGTTAGATTTAGGTGAACTAAATTTAATGTCTTGCCAGCGTCTAAGGACAACGTTATTTTGACATCTAATAACAACGTCAAATTCCGTTAATATTTGGTTGATTTTAGGTTGTGTTGGAAAGTGACCCAAATCCAACATCGGATAGATGTCATGGTGGTAATGTCCACACAACGTCATGGTGTAACATGATGAGACGGTTATATTTGATTGATTTTAGGTTGATTTTATATTGGACATTGACGTCGGCCTGACGTTGGGTTCTGACGTCAACCAGATTTTCATTTCCAAACAAAATCTAACATTCCCACAACGTTGTAGTACATTGGGGTAAAACATCAATATGATGTCATGTTGACGTCCTGTGCCTGCAGGGAAGTTCTAATATTTATATTACTTACTAATACAACAGCAGCCTTTTCCGTTACCTCATGCTTTATGTACGTTACTGTATGCTCACAATCTACTATTTTGTTACCTCTTAAGTAAATTATAAATTTTTTATGACATGTTTTACGAATTTGTTTCCACTTTCAGGTAAATTGCGCGCATAATGTACCTTCCCAGCAAACAATTTTGTGTTTAATAGACATCTAAACGTAGACAGCTTGGCTAGAACTAGGCTAAACTTGGGCTGTCAGTGAAAATCTAATAGACATCTAGGAATAGGCTAACACTTGACTCGTTATCAAATAGACAGATTAGACAGACTTTATATGTGTAGTCACTCATGTTTCACTCTGTTTATTTGATGACTAGTCTAATTTTGGCCTATTTTTAGACATCTATTAGATTTTCACTGACAGCCCAAATGTAGCATTGTTTTAGCCAAGACGACTATGTTTAGACATCTATTAGACATCTTTAAAAACAACAAAAAAAGCTTGCTGGGTTGCTAATTCACTTTAAGTTTTTATGACCCTAGATCACAAAACCTTATGTTGCATACTTGTGGCAATGGCCAAAAATACATTGCATGGATAAATTTTTTTTATTTTTTATTTTTATTGAAACTTATATTTGACTTATGACTTTTGTGGTTTCGTGGTATTGGTACTAAGACTAAAGTGTTCACTTTGTAAGGAGTACTGTTCTGCTTTATTATACATATATAAGTCAATGAACATGAAAAGTACAAAAAAAATTATAAATAAGTAACCTTAGCTTAAATTGTTACATGGTTCTCTGGGATACTTGATTTTGATTGGTCAGATTTTGATTGGTTCCACGGTATGTTAGTCCAAAATAACTGTGGAAACTATATCAGAAGCTCATGTAGTTGTATCAATTCATTCTGACCATCAGTGAATACATTTACATCCATATTCATATGCTTGTCCAATGCTTTCTCACACCAATTTGTAACTTTTTGATTTAGTCACTAAATCGTTTGTATTCGTCCAATCTCTTTTCCACATTTTAGGATGATTTGCTCATCTCCCAGTGATGGTTGGGTTTAGGGGTGAGGTTTGATGCCACGCTTCCTTTTAAAAATCCTACATTTTCACGCAACTAAACTTGTACCATGAATCTGTAAGAATTTGTCAATAAATTGACAAAGTGTAAATTATTTATGTTTCCTTGTGAGATCAGGCTGGCTTGTCAGTCATGCCACTGTTTTTGACTGTTAGGCACCGTCTTGTGACTGAATAATACGTAAGTTAAGCCTGGTTTATACTTCTGCGTCAAGTGACCGGCGTAACCCACGACGCATTCAATGCGTGTAGCTGTGCATTTATACTTCTGCGCGCTATCTCTGTGGGTCTGCATTAACACTTCCGAAACGCTAGTTGGCAGTGTGGTGTAAATGTTCCTCTGTGTCGAGTTTCTTCGGTGCTGTTTTGCTTTTCCTGAACACTTCCGGGATGTACAAGTGGCTCAAACTCGCTCATTTTGAGGCAGGAACCGGTGGACGTGCAACAACTTTAACTATGAGGTAAACACAAAACAAAACTTTCCATCCGGAGCTCCTTCACGGGACTCCACACTTGTAAACAATCGCTCCATCAGGCTTGCACCATTCAAGCGGCTCTCGGTCCCGCCCAGACTCGTCAGCGCTACCAAGTCGACCAATCACAGAGCTTGCGCTACGTTTCGTTGCGACGTGTAGTTACATTTTTTGAGAGGTGCTCGTCAGCGACGCCGATGGCCACGGTGAAGGGCTATGCGTCAGCGCCGTAGTATACGCCCGCGTTTGATGCAGAAGTATAAATCAGCCTTTAGTGTGTGCTCCATTTAGCCATTTTCATTTCTGTCAGCTTTGACTTTATTTAAAGAGTTAATAAACTATTACGGCTCAGAATAACATTTTGTGACAAGTAGCCATGTAATAAGTGGAATAAAATAAATGTAGGCAGTTATTTGTCACAGAATAAAGCCCTTCTGACTTACACAACAATGTTGATGAGCTTTATTCTGTGATAAAAACCAGCGAGATGTACTTGATCCCTTAAAACACTTTTGCTTAGTACTTAAGGAATCAGTGAAAAATACACTTTAAAAAAGCAAACAAATTAGTAAATCATCATCAGTGTGTCTTAAAGCAAGTTAAGAATTAGTACATTTTGTGCACAGTTTACCTAAAACAAGATAATGAATTAGTAAATATTGCACAGTTTACTTAAAACAAGAAAACAAATAAGTAAATCTTGCACACAGTATACTTAAAAAAGCTAATGAATTTGTATATATTGTGCACAATGTTCTTTTATAATTAAGTAGTGAATTGGTAAATCAGGCATGTGGTGTACCTAAACAATGTAACAAATTTGTAAATTGTGCATATGAAGGTAATAAATTACTAAATTGTGTTCACAACGTACTAAAAATCAGCAAAACAAATGAGTTATATGTTTTTAATAAGGTCAAATTTGTCGACTGTGCAAAAACTATGCAGACTTTTAGCTTAAATGTCCTGTAATTCTGTTGCGTTTGTCAGAGGAAATTCAAATGAGAGAACAAAAATAGAATAACAAATAGTTCGAAACTTGAGCTGAAACTGTGTGTAAAGCACTCATTTTTCAGAGGTCTATGCGCGGATGAGGTTTCAGAGTGAGAAAGAGTCTCTTTAGCTTCCCTGGAGCTCATTGTGTTCTCAGAGGTCCCGAACAGTGCTGAATGTGAGGAGTCACTGAAGGTCTCCGTGATTGGCGGATTGACCCTGTCACTGAGATAAAGCCTGCTTGTCATGTTCACAACAGGCCTGCATATACACACCAATAGCTTTTACTGGTGGAAAGCAGCTAATTACCAAGTCAACAAATCACGTTTCAATCAAAATCAATTTAACATGACATACAGTTATCAATCTGATTGATTTAATTAAAGATGCACCTCTGTGTCTTTGACAATATGTAAATCTGTTTACTGAGCTTGAGATCCATGAAGGAGACTAAATTAAAAGTTGATGCAGACAATAATTATTACAAAAATAATACTGTTATGTTACATTTAAAGCATTGTTGTATATGCCTTAAACTTCAAACTGTGTAAACGTAAACAGAAATGGAGCTTGAATTTACTTTGGACTAAAACAACAACAACTGAGCAGTGGTTCTTAACCCGAGGGCCTCAGCAAACCTCCAAGGGTCCTCGGGATGACTAAATTATTCAACATAAGACAAACAGGCACTAAAATGAGCTGAAACTAGAAATCAAGATATTTCTTATTCTGATTCATCTCCTTTTTAAAGTGTTAGTCAGTGCAAGTGAAGTATTATCATCATCAGCTATTATTAAACAGGCTTTCAAATCAACTAATTGAATGTAAGCTAATAACAGCTCGTTGCTGCTTTCTACAAAAATGAAATTTTGGTAACTGTCAAATCAACATAGAATTTTGGATAGCTTTCTCTGTATGAACTTGTCCAGGGGCTATGGATGAAAATGTAACATTTTTGGCTAAATCTGCCCCATTTTCCTTTTTTTGTACATTGAGTGTGTATTGTCCCTGATTAAATAAGCAAATACATGAACAGTGTACAATGTACATGCATATATATGTATATATATTATATATATATATACACATACACACACACACACATATATATATATATATATATATATATACACACACATTTTATAACGATAATATTTTAAACTAAATAAACCACAAAAACTAAACAAAAATTAAACAAAAACATAAAAAAGGAAAGTTATTTCAAAATAGTTGAATTAAAACAGTATATCGATAATAAAACTGAGTTTTAAAACTTATTTTTTTTCATTTTCATTATTATTTTTTTTATTTTAACAATAGGATGTTTTTTTTATTATAAAGGAATATAAACATTATATCATCATTTACTCAGCCTTCACTTGATCAAAATCTACGGTATCTACAGTGAACATTCAAATTCCAAAACATTTTCAAAAATCAAAAATCCTTATGCTTAATCCTTATCCAGTAAATCTACTGGAAAGAGTGAGAATTTCCAAAGAACATTCAGCTCTTAAAATATTTGTAATTAAATATATTGCTGTTCCACGTATATTTTGTGTTTGTTTTCAGTTTTTGCTTTCTCTTCTCTTCCCCGTTGTGTATTCTGTCCTGTCCCTGGTGTGCGACCATTGGTCAATAAGGCCATCAATCATCATGATGATGCCACTCAGTGCACCAATCAGGAGCTGGTCCCCAGCATTTAAAAAGCATTCGCTTGCTCTTTCCATCAAGAGCACCTGATTCAGTACTATACTCCTCACTAGAGTGACCAGCCGGTTCATTATTTTCTGTTGTTTAGTTTGTTTCATATAAGTGCTTTATTGTTAAGACAAGCTTTTGTAGCTCAATTTACACGATTTTTAGCTTTTGTTTTGCTAAGTGCTAACAGTGTACTTTACGAGAACTTTAGTAATTCTGAGTAGAAAAATTATTTTTGTGTTAGTTTATGGAGTTGCCACACCTGTAATTATGTTTTGAATAGTTGAGTAGTTTAGTTAAGCGCTGTATACGCTGAAGATTACGGTTTTGATCCTACATTTTTCTCTGATTAGTTAGTTTAGTGGGTTGGGGTTTATTTAGATAGTTGTGCTATATTTATGTCTTTGTTTTGGCAGCACTCCTGTGTTTGTTTGATTTTGTCATTTAAATTACATTACAAATTCGTATATTCATTCATTCATTCATTTTCTTGTCAGCTTAGTCCCTTTATTAATCCGGGGTCACCACAGCGGAATGAACCGCCAACTTATCCAGCAAGTTTTTACGCAGCGGATGCTCTTCCAGCTGCAACCCATCTCTGGGAAACATCCACACACGCATTTACACACACACTCATACACTACGGACAATTTAGCCTACCCAATTCACCTGTACCGCATGTCTTTGGACTGTGGGGGAAACCGGAGAACCCGGAGGAAACCCACGCGAAGGCAGGGAGAACATGCAAACTCCACACAGAAACGCCAACTGAGCCGAGGTTCAAACCAGCGACACAGCGACCTTCTTGCTGTGAGGCGACAGCATTACCTACTGTGCCACTGCCTCGCCCTCGTTATTCATTATTTATTATTATTCTTTATTCAATTATTTTGTTTCACATATCTATTTGCTGTGATTTTTCTTATTTTCACCCATAGAAACTCACTTAATGTTACGTCTCATTCAATATAACAACATAAACACGTAACAACTGCACTGAAACTAGAAGAGTCAGTCCTGTGAGCCCTGTCATGAGCAATGGGATGTCAAAAGTTGGAGTTAAGCACTACTGCGCCAAACCAACTCAACTTAAAAGCCTCATCACAAAAGGCCACGGTCGAAATGGCACTAAAAACACACATACTTACAGATGTAATAATATTCATGTCCAGGCCGGAACTCAAAGCCAAGCGAGAAGGGGGTGAAGAGCTGAAACTTCTCCGAGAAGCGCAGGGGTCCGTCAGGACTCTGGGGCCGATTGCACTCCCAGCGCTTGAAGCCCCTCATGCGGTGCTCACAGGTCAGGTAACCATCATGGTTGACCATGAAGAGGATGTAGCGCTCCATGCGACTGTGCGGCTGCGGGCTCTCATAATACGGACAGTACACGTCCAGGTAGTCGTTGATGCTCACAGCCACCGTATATTCGCCCTGCCAGAACCTGCAAGCAAGAGTCAGAGGATTAGATCATTGAGGATGACTGACTGACATACAACTGCTGTAATGGGACAATTGAAATATTCTTTAGTTCTGGCCTCCATTCAAACTGTACAGCAGCAAAGAGCGATGTTTAACACACAAAGGCTAAATCTGTTGGGCAGAAAATCACAGGGAACACAACAGAGTAAGCTGGAATGAATAACCACAATGCATATTTTCTATCTAGGTCACCATTATGCAGAGAGAGAGAAAGAATGGAGAACCAGAACACACAGAAAACCAAACTCTCTCTCTCTCTCACTGTAATGGTGTAATGAGAAGAAGGGATGTTTGAAGAAGAAAAAAATATGTTTGGGCCTAAAATAGCACTCTTTCAAAATAACCGAGTTTGCCTTTGTTAGTGCGGCAGCAACATTTATCAATGAATATGTTGATCGTGTTCATAAAATCCACAAATTTAGTCAGCGTGCTTGTCATATAAATCATAAACTTCATATTAAATTGCACCCTTAATCCAAGCTTTGAACCACGCAGGCATCATAAAAGAGTTTTCATGCTCCGCGTTTGATTTTCCCTCTACATAGTGTGCGTTTCATGAAAATGCAGCTTTCGGAGCGTAGGAGAGGGGAGAGAGAAAGTGTGGAGAGGCAAAAGATAGCATGAGTGAATCAGTTTGAAAGTCGGTGTGACCTACAGAGGCTGTGAAAGTGTGTGACAGTGCTGTGATGTCCTGAGAGTATAATATATGTACAGTATATATGCCTTTGACTGCAAAACACATGGCTGTTGACAGCACGGGAAATAAAATAATAAATGCATTGAGGTTTTGACACTTCAAATGAGTAACAAATGCTCCAATGGAACAAGACAAGATGCTTTTCCAAAATGGATTTTATTTTGCCGCATAAAAACAAGTCTTAATGCGTTGCAGCATTTTTGTTTGGCAAATTTATAAGTGAATCTGAGAAAGCCTGTCAAGGATATGTCAAAGATTGAGGGTTGTTTCAAAAAATAAAAATAAATCAAGAAACAAAAATCATGGAGGGAGGAAATGAGTTTCTGCGTGATATTTATTTATCTTGCTGATTTCTTTTTTTTTTTTTTGCATATTTGTCACACTTTAATGTTTCAGATCATCAAACTAATTTAAATATTAGTTAAAGATTACACAAGTAAACACATCATTCATTTTAAATGAAGCTTTTTCATTATTAAGGGAAAACAAAATGCAAGACTACAAAGCCCGGTGTGAAAAAGTGTTTTTAAATTAGGGTTAGGTATTGTTTCGATACTGGTGCTAAATCGATACTTTTAAAAGAGCCAAATTGTTGTCTAAACCTACAAAAAAATATTTTAATCATTTTAATTGAACAATTTAAAGTTTAAAGTACACAATAATTCATGTTTTATATATTTGAATTGAATTGCATTAATACGTTTCTCTTGATCATTTGTTTATTAGCATGAATTAAAGATTAGCATTATGCAATTAGCATTACATTAGCTTAATACTGTCCTGTGGAAAGGTTGTCAGCAAACTCAGGGACCACCTTTTTTCTAAGGTTGGGGCTTGTGACTACGTTTACATGGACATCATCAGTAATCTAAGTATTTGCCTTAATCTGAATAAGACAATAATATAATTAAGGTGTTTACATGAGATGCTTCTTGAATGTTACTTTCATGATCCTGTTCTACATGTTATAGTACCTAGATTGATTAATGTCATTGCGTCAAAAGGCTAATCACATTTCCTGTGGTGTTTCATGTAATTTTGGATGTTTTATTTTTAATTATTTAACCTTAACTACAGTTCGGCAGTTTCATTTTCATTCAGCAACATATTGTTCATGCCCCGTGACAACCTGAGGTATTGGATTAAAATATGAAGGACTGGTAGAAGAGTGTCGTTTTAATGGAATTTGATTTTTGTTTCATGATGCGGGTGTCTGTTTACATGGTAGACTCTTATTTAGAGTATTGTCTTAATCATATTAAAATCAGATTATTGGTGTCCATGTAAACGTACTGACTGAGACGCAGAGTGTATTTCTCTGCCTTTAAGTTGATTCCATGTACCCTCAAAAATGTTAAGTTTGACGTGTTTTCCCCCTTACACAGAACTTTTGTAAAGCATCTGCTTCACGTTATTGTGTCAGAATCATTGCTTGTAAAATATTGCCATACTTTAGAACTCTAAGTTTAAGCAAATTTGATTAACGCGATCATACGTGTTGATGAATCTGAAGGCAGTCGCTCACTGGATGTGCATGCGTTCACAACAATAACAAACGACTAATATTGCAGACAGTGTCCGTATCCCTCAAAGTTGTTTAGAATTAACTGTTGGTGTGACACAACGTGTACCTATCTGTGCCTTTGAGGTATCCCTTGATGCTTCTTACGTCCTTGTCGCAGCACCAGTGACACTAAAATTAGGCACTGAATTTCAAATGCTGATTCGATCTGGTCTATACCGCTTACATTGGTACCCAACCCTAGTTGAATTATAACTTAACTCTGCTTTATCATACCTGACATCCATTTCTAAATCTGCACCCTGAGTTATGCCACTCCTGTTCACAATCAATAACTCACTTTCATAGTACCTGCCTGGCAAAGTGAAGTAGACCAAAAGATCCTCAAAACCCAGACATCATGCAGAGATCCAAAGAAATAAAAAAAATTGAAAGAAAATAACAGATCTACCAGTCTGGAAAAGGTTAAGCCATTTTTTAAAGCTTTGGGACGGCAAGGAACCACAATGAGAGTCTTTATCTACAAAAGGGCAAAAACATGGAAAGGTGGAGAACCTTTCCAGGAGTGGCCAGCTGAAAAAAATTACCCCAAGAGGGCAGCGACAACTCACCAAGGAGGTCACAAAAGACCCCACAGCAACATCCAAACTGCAGGTCTCACTTGCCTCAATTAAGGAATCACAATTATTCAAATTGATTATGAGAGTGCAATATGAACAAAACTTTTTAGATTTATTAACTTAAAGTTTAAAGCACACACCATGCTGCAAAATTAATGTTTTATTGATTTCCATGTGAAAATGAGCTTTGTAAAGAAAGAAATGAGGACTGCTGGAAAGGGGCAGAATATGAAGTAAAAATTGTTTTATATTGTTTATTGGGGGTGGCTCTGTATTCGCATGGGGGGCTCCCGCAGTCCAAAGACATGCACTTTAAGTGAACTGGATGAACTAAACTGGTAGGTGTGTCACAATAATCCATATATCGACTTATCACATAACACTTGACCATGACCTCAATGATTTTGGGCATGCAGTGTATATCGCCCAGACAAAAAAAAAACAAACAATATCAGCAACAATTTAGCTCTATCGGAAGAGTCTGTATGCTTAAAAAACACTATAGTATTTACTATAAATTACTTATTTTCATGTGAGTGTCTATCAAATGAAAATAGATCTGTAGATTTTTGTTAACATTTATCATTATTATTATTTATTTGTTTATGATGTAACGTTTTCACATTCTGTTTCCAATGTTTAATTATTAAATCGTTAAAATAACTACAATTAAATAAAATTAAATATTCTTAAGAATAAAATACAATGTGTTCTTTAGGAGATGGTACTTGCATCATGATGCTATTGTATTGTCATTCTGGCATTATAAAAAGAGTGGCATAAAATGACAATAATACCGCTTATCACATTATATTTTGGTGCAGTATATCATACAATGAAAAATAGATTTCGTGACAAGCCAATAAATTGGTGTAGTGAATGAATACATGTGAATGTGAGAGTGTATGGGTGTTACCCAGTACATTGCTGGGTTGTGGCTGTAAGGGCATCCGTTGTTTAAAACATATGACAGAGTAGTTGGCGGTCCATTCCGCTGTGGCGACCTCTGATAAATCAGAGACTGAGCTGAAAGAAAATGAATGAATGAATCTTAATTATAGATTTTTTTAAAATAAATGAAACCAACACTTGTTTAGTGTGAATTGAATTTCGAATAATTACACAGTAGGGTTGTGCGATACTGAAATTTGGTACCAAATCGATACTGAAATTTTAAAAACGTCTATTTCCCGCTAACATTTGAGCCCTACTAAGCATGTTCTTAAACAATGCTGATTCGCCATTGTGTTCACGTGTTCAACAGAAATCACTTTGATTGGCCGTGAAGGTCATCAATTCACCAAACTCACAGCTGTTTACTGAGTGTAACTACAAATACAGGGACACTGGAGCATTTTAAAGCCACAATTAATCAGCGGATCTCTCGTATGTGAGCTTATAGACAGACCAGCTGATCGACGTGACTTCGAAAAACTCCAGTGTCCCTGTATCTGTGGTTAAATTTAGTAAACAGCAGTGAGATCGGTTGAACCGATAACCTTTACAGCCTTCACAGTTATTTCTTTTGAGCACGTAAACACAATGGCAAATTATCGATGTTTAAGAACATGCTCAGTAGTTTGCTCAGAGGGAAAACTTTAGTAACGACTGGTACAGAATTCCAGTATCATGACAGCCCTATTGCACAGTCTATATACCGTATCGTGTCAGTGATTTCCTTTAGACACACATAAAAGTAAATAACTGAAACATGCTTTCATGTGATCCACCCATCAAATAACCAAAATCTCACCAAGAGCACAATGTTTTGTAAAAGTGTCCTTGTGCCACAAGTGAATGCCTCTTAAAAAGCTTCCTTGTATGGAAGCGAAAACAGCAGAAAGCACTCACACCTCCGTAAGCGATGAAGCAGCGTCAGGCACTGGTCCATTTGCCTTCAGTGTTCAGAATGAGGTCCTGTCCTCTCATCTAGACAAGCTGCCCCCTCCAGCACCTGCCCGCCTGTCCTTTAACCAGATCAACTATTGGCACGCCGATTTCCTCACAGAGCACCCCACGTCAAGTACTTTCTTAAAGAGTGCTTGTTTTGCCCCGGGTTAATGGCTCTTTCAGATGTTTGCACTCACATGCGCGCACACACAAACACTGGTGTACCATAAAAA